TCATTGTTGTTTGGCGGGTCCGGGCTGGGGATTCGAACCCACCACCTTAGGTGTACGTGGCGGGCGCCTTAGCCGGTTGAGCTATAGGCAGCAAGCCAAGTCCCTTTTCATTTTAAGGAGCTGAGATTTTCAACCCAAATCAGTATAATTCCAAAGCTTTTGCACTGTTGCAGCACTGCCTCCCTGGGATGCTCCTAGCTAGGGAAGGAATACAAGTAAATTGCAAAGGGGGGAAATAATCACAGCATGTTCACTAACTGTTACATTTATCTGATGGAAATCAGGTTGGGTGATTTGATTGGGACCAGGTTATATGAAACCAGTGGTTGTCAACCCTTCCTGCCTATTAGACTTACCTGGAGAACTTTTATTTTTAAATAACTCCCTGGGATAGGCATTGATGATTTATGTCTATAATGCCAGCACTTTAGGAGGCCAAAGCAAAAGGATCACTTGAGCCCAGGACTTAAGAGGATACAGTAAGCTATGATATGATTGCACCACTAACCCCAGCCTGGGTAACAGAGAGAGCATGTCACTTTTAACAAAAAAAGAAAAAAGTCACAAAACAACTGGATATTTGAAAGTACAGCTGGCAAGCAGTGTAACCTAATTCTTTATACCCTCAATGAATCCCAAACAATAAAAAAGAAAACAAAAGGGGTGGTGCCTGTGGCTCAGTGAGTAGGGCGCTGCATACTGAGGGTGGCAGGTTCAAACCTGGCCCTGGCCAAACTGCAGCAAAAAATAGCTGGGCATTGTGACGGACACCTATAGTCCCAGCTACTTGGGAGGCTGAGGCAAGAGAATTGCCTAAGTCCAAGAGCTGGAGGTTGCTGTGAGCTGTTAACGCCACAGCGCTCTACCAAGGGTGATGTACTGAGACTTTGTCTCTTAAAAAAAAAAAAAAAAAAAGAAAGAAAGAAAAGAAAAAGTGCAGAGCTGGGGTTTAGAACCACAGTGTTAAGAAAGATTTCCAAGGGAAGAAGTAAGGGATCGGGCTCAAAGTGGTAGGGCGCTGACCCCATATGCCGGAGGTGTGGAGTTCAAACCCAGCCCCAGCCAAAAACCACAAAAAAATAAAAAAAAAAAAGTAACGGATCACAATCAGCCTGTTTACTACAAAGACCTAGGCAGAACTCAACAATGTGCTAATGTGGGGTCAGAATCACACCCCCCCTATTGTTATATGATTGTCCCCCATTCTCAGGTACAGGTAACCGAGTGCAGAAGTCACCATCCCCATTGGTTCCATTTTTCCACACCAAGGGCCTTCTTAGCTAGACACTGTCCTTCCTTAGGTCTCTGCTCTTACCCTCTATACCACAAATTCTTCCCCAGATGGGGTGTTCCTGCCTCTAGAGGGCACTAAGGTTGGAGAGATGTCAAAGTAACCAGTGCCCCGACCATTAAAAACCTGGCAGCTTGCATGCAGGAATTTTTTACTTAGGTTTTTAAATTCTATTCAGAATCCAATTTATGGCCATGATATTAAGAGAGCCAACCCACACTCATCTTTATATTGTAGTAAAAAATTTTTTTGCCTTGATGCCTATGGTTCAAGCAGCTAAGGTGCCAGCCACATACACCTGAGCTGGCAGGTTCGAATCCAGCCTGGGGCCCGCCAAACAATGACGGTTACAACCAAAAAGTAGCCGGGCATTGTGATAGCCGCCTGTAGTCCCAGCTACTTGGGAGGCAGAGGC